TTTACAATAACCGCCTTAGGTGTGAGCGATCTAATGTTTAGAAGACCTAGTTTTAGAAATTGTTTTTGTTCACTGATATTTAGATTTTCAGGTTTAATTACAATAAGATTTTTCCTAGATCCTACAGTGGATTTATTATTTGGCCTCACTAAACGAGGAATAGACACAGTTTCTATATAATGTTCTACACTACTTATATCAATTAAATTGGCACAGCAAAGACTGTGATTTGGAATTTGATTTTCTAGTCATACGGTGTGTAACGTCTTGGAGATGTTGTCCGACAGAACAGCCGCTCCGATTCTGCTGGGGTGCAGGCCATCAGCACGGTAGAGCCTAGGTCGCTCCCAGAACAGATTCCAATTATTTACAAAGAGCAGTTTTTGTTCATTACACAATGACATTAACCATTCATTTAGTGCAAATAATCTACTGAACCTTTCCTGTCCTTGTCGGTACGTGGGAAGCGGTCCAGACACGATGATCGTTGCCTCAGGCGCTGTGCTGCGTACCGCCTCGATCAGGCTCCTGTAGTCCTTCTTCAGAACCCTGTCTGCCGCAGCCTGATATCGTTTGTTCCAGCGTGAAGCACCACAGCTCCGACGCGCTCTTCACCGTTCAGGATCTCGGGAACCTGTGCGGCGACATCAAGAACACGAGCACCAGGAAGGCAGTGAGTGCGCACCTTACCCTTACCTGAGGTAGCACGGACATGACGGACCATGGAAGTGCCGATGATCACGGCGTCGTCGCGTTCCGACTCGCGAAGAGGGGAGAAGCGGTTCCGGGTGGAGATCTCGAAGACCGGGAGGGGCGGAGAGGTTCTTGCTCTGGTCCTGGCTCGTGTCTTCCGCTGTGGGATCACCCAGGGTCCATGGTGTTGGGTTGGTGCCGGAGTGAATGATGCCAGAGATGATCGCGTCCTCCTGGGCAGAGAAACGCACGGAGTGGACGAAGTCGGAGTCAAAAAGTTACTAACCACTGACTTGTGTGCATCGGCGCGTGACGTTTCAAGCGCTGATCGCCGATCCCGCAGCTCGGCTTGCCTCTCTAGCAGACCACGGATCTGTTTCTCCACCGATTCAAGCTCCAATCGTACCGAAATCAGTTCGAATGTGTCCTCACCTGCACTAGGAGGTAACGTTAGACACACATCTGATATGTTCGCCATAACAGATGAACAGTAGATTAGTAGTGATACTACCAATATCACTAGTAATTTAGGACTGAAATGCCGGTAATAACCTGTATCCTTTCAGTGAAACGGGTGTAAAATCAGACGGTCAATAGGCGCGAGGCCACGCGTGAAATGCTAGCGGACTAAAGGCTAGTAGCCGAGATTCGCAAAGTTGGGTCTAAGTAGCGATATCAAAGCAATCCGATTGTTTTTTATAAGGAATAGTATCGAGGATAAGTTCCCATGATATAAAAATAGAAAGTGCTTGTTTATAAATGAGTGGTAAAAAAGAAAATCAGGAACAATTCAGGAACATCAACCTGTTTGCAATGTATTCAATTAAATTCTAAATTATTTTGTCTGTGTGTTCTTGACTTAATGGACCTGACAGAAATTGAGCGTCAGTTCTGGCAGGCCAGGTAGTCAAGCCGCTGCTTATGCTATTTGCTATCAACACTGTCCCGTCAGCTGATCTGCTCCAGCTGAGCTGCATCCATACCGAGAAAAGAGATCCTCTGCACGGGGCAAAGTTTGCTCTTCTCCCAGTTGACCTGAAGGCCCAGACGGGCTACATGGCGGAGCACCAAGTCCCTGTGTTCGCAAAGCTGATCTCGAGAGTGAGCTAGGATTAGCCAGTCGTCGAGATAATTCAGAATGCGAACCCCGTGTTCCCGGAGGGGAACAAGGGCTGCCTCGACGACCTTCGTGAAGACGCGAGGAGACAGGGCTAGCCCGAATGGGAGAACTGCGTACTGATATGCCTGCCCCTCGAAAGCAAACCGCAGGAACGGTCTGTGTCGAGGGAGGATGGAGACATGAAAGTAGGCGTCCTTCAGGTCGATCGCTGCAAACCAATCCTGGTGCCGCACACATTCGAAAACGCGTTTGGCGGTGAGCATCTTGAACGGCAGCCTGTGAAGGCAGCGGTTCAGAACGCGCAGGTCCAGGATTGGCCGTAACCCACCGGTTTTCTTCGGGACAATGAAGTACGGGCTGTAGAAGCCGGTCCTCATTTCGGCTGGAGGGACAGTCTCGATCGCACCCTTCGCCAGCAGGGTGGCAACCTCCGCTCTCATGATAGGGGCATTGAAGCGGGGAGGAGACCGCGCGAACTGAATCGCGTAGCCGGGCCTGATCGTTCGCGCGACCCAGCGGGACAGGTTGGGAAGTTCTAGCCAGGCTCCCAAGGACTGTACCAGCGGGGTCATGCGAACTACAGACTTCCCGTCGGTGGAGCAGCGAGGCGGTATGGCTGACCCAGACGTGGACGGCATAGCGGCCCGGTGTGGGGGTACAGCCATAGACCGCGTCCTGACAGAGGAGACCAGGGAAGGACGAACGTTCCACGGGGGTCTGCTCTGCCAGGGGTCTGGCGACAGAGGAGGATGAGAGCGGCACGGTCCGGGGACGGCGCGCACTGTCATCCGGCTCTGGGACAGAGGAGGACGAGGGGTGCATGAGCCGGGGGCGGCGCACCGTGTCGTCCGAGAACTCTGTGTGCTCAGGGATGAATGTGTCACTTCTTTCTTTAACCACATAAGGGTGCTGCCCACCCGAGGGTGAGCAGCGGGGAGTGGAGAACAAAAGATTCTCCCCCGGCCCTCCACCGGGGGAAGGAGTGGTCCTGCTACCACCTCCTGAGAAGTGCACATCATACCTGAGCAGCCCGTCTCAGGAGCGCCGCTTGGCCCGGCGTTTAGCGGGGGGCGGGGCGCCTTCTTACGGCTTCCTCCGCGACCGGGCCCAGGTGAAGGCTGCTGCTTGGGCCGGGCGGGAGGGGCGGGAGCCGCAGGAGGGAATATACTCAACAGACTGAGTATTCTGCCCGGTCGGCTGGGTGGAGGCAGCAGCGGGCCGTCGGGGCAGAATGTGCTTGATAGCCTCAGTCTGTTTCTGAGCAGTCGAGAACTGTTGGGCAAAGTCCTCAACTGCCCCGCCGAAGAGGCCGTCTTACGATATGGGGGTGTCGAGCAGCCGAGACCGCTCGGCATCCCGCATATCGGCAAGGTTCAGCCACAGGTGTCTCTCCTGGACCATGGCTGTGGACATCACCAAACCCAGGGAGCGTGCGGTCACCTTCGTCGCTCAGAGAGCAAGGTCGGTGGCGGCGCGCAGCTCATTGAAGAGCCCTGGGTCCGTCCTACCCTCGTGCATGTCCCTGAGCATCTGGGCCTGGTAGACCTGCAGAATGGCCATGGCATGCAAAGAGGTGGCTGCCTGTCCCGCCGCTCTGCAGGACTTCGCCACTAGCGTAGACGAGTACCTACAGGCTTTGGATGGGTGCTTAGGCTCGCCACGAGAAGAAGCGCTCTGAGGACACAGTTGCATCGCAACAGAGCGTTCAACCGGGGGGAGCCCAGTGTACCCACGGGCAGCCGCCTCATCGAGGGGAGGAAAGGCGGATGAGATCAACGAGCGGTCACGGGAAGAGCTGGAAGTCTTCCAGGACTTCGAGATCTCATCATGCACGTCCGGGAAGAATGGTATTGGGGTTTGACGCGGACGGGGGTCCGCGGCCTTACCCAAGTACCAATCATCCAGCCGCGAGCGCTCGGGACAGGGTGGAGGTGTCCACTCTAAACCGATGCTCGCGGCGGCTCGGGCGAGCATGGCCGTCATCTCCGGATCCGACTCAGGCACAACCGTATGCACACCGGAAGGTGGCAGCTGTGCTGAGTCTTCACTTCCAGAAGAATCAGACCCACCTTGTGATGCTGCGATTGACATCGCGTCCTCCTCTGGAGCGCCAAAGGAAACCCGCGGGGCATCCGAAGATGGTCCCACGGGAATCCCTTGAGCACTCGCGGGTTGCAACACAGGAGAGGGTGCGGCTGGGCACGGACGGATAGTCGGCGCTTTGTTCCAAACCGTCACCCTCAGGTCACCCTGGCCACCAGCCGAAGTACTGGCTCTATTTCTAGAGTCAGTAGAACGGGGGATGGATGAGGGGGCTCTCATTATTGCGAGATCACCGAGTCTCGACCGTAATGTTGCGATGGTCATGTTCCCACAGAGAGAACATGAGTCATCCACGAGCGCTGCTCTAGCGTGATCAATGCCCAAACACACTATGCAACGCTCATGCCCATCAGAGTCGTCAACGAGTCTACCGCAACCAGAAGTGCACGGGCGAGGCATCTTTAAAAAGACGTGCCGCGTGCAAAGAAGCTCTGACTGTGTTGAAGCGCCCGGGGAGAAACACACTCACTGTCAAACCACAGACAGATAAGCAGGAAGTGCGCGCTCGCCGGAGATCGCCGTCACACCAACACCAGAGAATCTCGCTCGTCTTGAAGAACTGACAGTTCAGGAATGGCTTGTGGAACGAAGGATCAACTTGGCACCGAAGCGAAAACATGCCTATTTGCTGCCAGCGTTCTCCTTAAATACCCACGAGGTGAGGCGGAGTTACGCTATGCAAATTCCGCAGACCCATGGCATTTCTTTGCCATTGGCTCGTTTTGTAGTACTCAAAGTCGATTGGCTTTCTAAGCGAAACCCCATTCGTCGTCATCCGACGGAACTCGGAGTGACAACGAAAGGGAACTGTTTTTACTGTATTTTTCAATCAAATAAAAGCAGCCATGGTGACTGTAATGTATATACTTGGCTCGGGTACTTGTGAATCCACGTCTTTGGAAAATGCTTGAACTAGACTTTAGAAGTCTAAGTTTAAATGGGTCTGTCTTGGTTATTAGTAAATTAATAAAGGAATAAAGATGGATATACGGCCAATAAAATAGTCATGTCTGTTAGAGTTAATAGAGAAGAGCACTTAATCTGTCTCTTAAGTTGATTTGCACTCTTGTTTTCTTTACGCCAGCTCTCATCCTGGAAGCGCTACTGGATTGTCTTATCCGGCTCCATTCTCATCTATTTTGGTTCTAAAGCTCTAAGAGCAAATGAGCGAAGACATGTAAGTGATTAATTATTACTTCAATCCAGTGAGAAAACAGAGTTCAATTCAATTCATTTCAGTTCAATTCACATTTATTTGTATAGCGCTTTTTAAAATACATATTGTCTCAAACCAGCTTTACAATTTAGAGTGACATGTAATTAAGAGCTTTATTTACTGTATATTTTATTATTATTATACTGTATTATTTACTGGCATCTAAGTCATTATTTAGACTTTACATTGTCAAATAATTAATATGTAGTCTATTATCATGCTAATTAAAACAATTTAATTATTTTATCCAAACTGATTTAATTAATTTGGGAAGGGGTTTTTCTGTTTGACACGACCAATGGCAGACGGAGAAGTTTGAAAACAGTCATTATTTTATTTACACACTTCAGCTTTAAGAACGTAATTTAAATCAATTATGTTCAACCTAACTGCATTTGGAAAACAATTCAGGGAATTATCAGTGTTGCTTCTTCAAATTCAAACTTAAATTAAGTTTACATTTAAATTAACTTCTTTGCATAACCTCTTTGTAATTGTGGCTTTTTATCTCAAGTATAAATCCAGGCCATGTAAAAAGATCACGCTGACAGGTTGGATTGTGGTGCTGCCAGAAAACCCTGAACATCCAAATATTTTCCAGCTCACTGATCCTGAAAGAGGTACTGTGACTCATCTAGTCACTAATGAACATTTACTACTTGTGGCTTAAAGAGTTAGTTCACCCAAAAATGAAAATTCTGTCAGTAATCCCTCACCCTCATGTTGTTCCAACCCCGTTAGACGTTCATCTTCGGAACACAAATTAAGATATTTTTGATGAAATCTGAGAGCTGGATCACTCCTCCATAGGCGTCTATGGGATTGAAACCTGCCGGCACAGAAAAGTTAAAGACATTGTTAAAATAGTCCAAGTGACTACAGTGGCTCAACCTTAAGTTTATCAAGCGACGAGAATACTTTTTGTGCGCAAAAAAACAAACAAAAATAACGACTTTATTCACCTATTCATTTTCTTCTCTGTGGGCCTCGAGTGAGTTCACGTAGTGTAACAGCGCGTAGGCTCACTATTGGCCAACGCTGGTCATGTGTGTGATGCGTGTGACGTACAACAACAGAAGCGGTGCGCTGTTACACTACGTGAACTCACTCGAGGCCCACAAAGAAAAAAAAGAATGGTTGAATAAAGTCGTTATTTTGGGGTTTTTTTTTAATGCAGACACTTTGTTGAATGCTGTGGTGGGATTTCCTTGTGTCTTATTCAGCTGCAACAACACCATACTTTATTTAACTAGCCTTTGGGGAGGAAACTTTCACAGCAATCACACACAGAATATACACAAAAGTGATGAATTATCTCCCACGAAAGAAATGAGTCATTGCTACAATAAAATGTATTCAAGAAATGACTTTTTGGCTCTATAAATGGCAGATTTGCAATGTCACACAACTTAATTTGAATAAACTCATGCAAGTTCATTTGTTTTAATCTTTGGTTTCAGGTAATGTTTACAAGTTCCAGACTGGATCACGTTTCTCTGCCATTATCTGGCACAGACATCTAGCTGAGGCTTGCAGGACTACAAGACCACAGGTAAGTGTGTTCTCGTATTAAAATATTAATTTTTAATACAGGTTCTCGTATTTAAAAAAAAATTGCGTAATTAACAAGCAATTCAAGGAATATCACATTGTTTTCCGCAGATACCAGCAAACCTCATGTCCTTTGAATAGCTGCTTTTTGGAAAGTCGGAAACAAATGAGAGGAACAAACCTAATGGAGAAAGACATTATAGTAGAAGAGTTTGTGCGAAGGTGATGTTCATGTTAAGACTGAAAGGCCTAACATATTTGGAAATGTGGCAGCTGTATCTGGTGAAAAAGTCCAAAATGTATTCAAACATTGTTGACACAGCTGTATCGAGAGGATGGTCTTGTCTCGAGTTTAGCTGTACCCCTTTACAAGAAGGTTTGGTAACACTTTATTTTACAGTGTCCTTGTAAACGTTACATGTAATTACTATAGTAATAACTTTAAATTCTGCATATTTATATGCAACTAACCCTAAACCAAACCCGAATCCTACCCCTAACCCTATAGTAAGTACACATAGTTAATTAATATTACTCCGTACTTAAATGTATAGTTTCACTGAAACATGGACACCTTAAAATAAACTGTAACCTAAGGTTCAATTTGTTAACATCAGTTAAGGCATTAGGTTTCATGAATTAACAATAAACAACCATTTTGATAGCATCTAGGTTATTGTTTGTTTATAAATATACTATTCATTGTTAATTCATGTTTGTTCATAATACAATTCTTTTTATTTATACAATAATATATGATTGCTGTTAACAAATTGAAACCTTATTGTTATTTTTACCTGACAAACCTAAGGTACACGTGAAATGTAAATTACATGTATAAAATAACTTTGTCTAATAGATGTCTTCATGTGATTAAGTGCCAAAATGATGACCTTTGTATTGTTAAATCTCGTATAGATTTATGTTCCATTCATGTTAGATTTTAGAGCAAACGTGAAATCCCTGGACAATGAGCATAGGCACATGACGTGTCTACTACATACATCAAATATTAATGACAGAAGAGGAAATAAAAAAATATAGATGCACTGTAGAGACATCACAGTTGTCTCGTTTTCCTGTGGGTAAAAGAAAGATTTGTTTAAAGTGCCCCTATTATGCTATTTTAAAGGTTTCTAATTTTGTTTTGGAGGTCTCCTGGATTACGGTTTACATGCATCAAAGGTTAAAAAACACTTTAACTTTCTCATGTATACATTGCACATCACTTTATTTCTCAAAGAGTCTGAAAATGGTTTGTTTGAAGATTTCTTCTCACTAACCCCTGCTTTCCACGAGCCCACTCTGCTCCGATTCGTCAGACGGCCCAGTCTGTTCTGATTGGTCTACCACTCTAAAATGCCTATTGCCATATCTGAATTTCAGCTCCGGAGGCTTCCTCAGTGTTATGCATCATGCAAAATTGTTTCATTATTTCATAGGTATGTATAGCAGGAAGTGAGACTGAACTGCTGAAACGAGTCTTCAGCAATTCCAGAGTCGTTTCTTTTTTTAGGAGACAATAACTTTATTTGTCATGCACTTCGATCTTTAAAACTTTGCAGACCTTTTACATTAACAAACAGATATATTACACACTACATGAAAGGTAATATTTGAAAAATAATAGGGGCAATTTTATATTTACGAGCACATTATTTGATGAAAATGATGGATTTTGTTTAGGTTTTATAGACATAATGTTGTAAAATAAAGTCCCGGGAGACTGAAGGGAAGCAACTGTTCTGATCAGAGCAGATGATGGTTTAATGGTGGATAATGTATTCTTTGGGGAAACCACAATGATGTTTTGAGTGATTGTTCAGTATTCACATTATCTAAAACTTCAGTGTAATATTATTTTTGGTTGTTTCTTTCTTTCTTTAAATGGAATATATCTAAAGACGTGTATAAATTGTAAAGTTCTTTGCAAAGTCTAGTATTTTGCACGGTCACAAATTTTTATAAGGCGCAGGAATGAAACTTATTCCTCCTTAAATGTGATATTAAGGCACTGAATATGAAGTGTAGAATGCTTTGTATATTGCAAATGGCAAAAGAAAATTATATTTTGTTTGGATATCCTGTAAGATCTCTGGAACATGCATGGATGGTTTGGATTAACTCACAGGTTTTTGTGTCACTTCAGTATCAGTATACATGTGTAACATTATTTAGACATTCCATCTACATGACATGACAGCTAAACAACTGTGAATCACTTCTCTTGAACAAGTTGAATCAGGCTTTAATTCTTTACACGGTATCATTGGCTAACCACAAGAGCCGGAACAAATGCAACGTGTGATAAAAATGATGGATGGAATGCTGCTCCCACAGGTTTTGTTGGTTTTGCATCACGCAAGCAACCATTTCAGCTGTGACTGACGGAACTATGTTAGATAGTCCATCTGCACTGATGTTCTCAACAAGTATTACTAAACTAAGATGGTTGCTCCCTCTTTGTTTTTCGTTTTTGGATTTATGGTTACCTTACCATCTGAAATTTCACCTATATTTATGTCCTCTGCTCATGGAGTAGTTTGGATGTTTGACTGTTCTGCTCAATTCTCACAATGTGATGCCACTGAATCTTTATATGGTCTATAATCTGAACATATAGACCTTTTACTAACTCGATACTTTTTGTGTTTGGTGTTTTGTCTTTATGGAAATATATGCTTAATGAAAAAAAACTGGTTTGACTTATTTCACACTTACATGCCATAATCCTGTAATATCTTTATCATTGTGATATGAACTATACAATCCTATTAAGTGGGATAGCTTTTATTTCACATTTAATAAGTGTTACTTGTTGCATTTCAGCTGTGATGTTATGGGGACTGTGTTTCCGGAATATTTAGAGCCAGAAACAACTTGTGACTTGTCTGTGAATGCTATTTTGACATGTATGTTTTTTACTTTCTGCATGTGTTATATTTGTCTGTCATATTTATTTATTTTTTTCATTTACCCTGCAGTTCTCATGAATTCTCATTTCAGGGCAGAGAATAATGTGGTAATTGGTGGACATTGTTCTAAAGCTGTGTAATTTTTTAGTCTTTAATTTTGTTTATTAGGGTGTGCAAAAATAGTGTGAGATGATCAAGCCCGACAAGGTTCAAGAGTCTCAAGCAGAGTCTTTACCCTTATATTTAACCTTTATTTAAAATCATTCAAGAGAATTCTGCAGATTTTCCCCAATATTAACTCAGAAAATGCAGTCTAGAAAAATGCTATTTATCTGCCCAAAAAGAAAATATTGTTCTTCCCCAGTTTTCAGTCAGACTCAGACCACTGCTCACTGGGGGCCTTCCAGCAGATAGAATAAAGGCATCTGTGGTTCCATGAAGAAACTTTAACATTATGAAAACTTTCAATTGCACAGAAGGTTCTTTATAGTTTAAAAAAAAAATAGATCATTAAAATGTTCTTTACACTAAGAACAAATGGTTCTTTTATGAACTGTTTACTGAAAGATAGGGAACAAAAAAATTAATGAAAAGTTAATTAATTAATGTTTATTATATTGGGATAGGATAGTAGAGACAATTGACAGGAAGCAAAGGGAGAGGAAGGGCGGGCACAGGAAAGGACTAATCAGGACTTGAACTCGGATCATTCTGAAGCTCAACCACTCTCCATTTCGGAGTGCTGCCCAGGAGTCAGTCGGATCGAACTTGTACAATGGAAAAGGCAGAGAATTGCATGTCAAAAAAGAAAAGTTCTTGCTGCACTTCCACTTGGAAAGTGACAGCTTGCAGAAAAGTTCTGTTTCAGATTACAAAGATACTTTTTTTTTTCTCTAGCAGTGGTTTAGCATGCTGGTTTCAAACACCAAAAATTTCTAATTAGAATATATTGTCACATTTTTGCTGAATATTTCATACATTTTTTGTGTTCGTTTAACTGTTAACATTTGGTGAAAAGCATAACACACTGGTTTGAAGTATCATAACGGCAGGTTCCACTGTAACAACAGAAGTTCAGAACAGACTTATCAGCATTGTTTGAGTCTGTTGGGGCAGGTTAAACAGGTCCTTTTACAGTACAGACCCATCCTTTTCAGGGAACTCAACTCGCTTTACTTGATTTGCATCTTAACAAAAGCTTGATTGCATCAACAGAGCAAAAATAAAACAACTTGAGGCGATGAAGCTCTTAAGCATATCAAACAGAATCTATTGTGTCAGTTGAATTCATTCTTGTTAAGCTTGTTCAGTCACTGGAATTGTTTGATCAGTCTTTTCATGGTTTGATAATAGGAAAAAAGGCCAAAACTCCAAGTAAAATCACGAAGCCCAATCCAAGTTTCATTGGAAAAACTTAAATTTACATTTACATTAAACATAATAGTTTATGACTCTCCTCTTTTTTTCTGGGAATTCGGCAGAAGATGTGTTCAAGTCATTTTTGCACTACTAGTAATGTAAAAGTACCTTGAATGCAATGCAAGTCACTTTGGAAAACACATCTGCTAAATGCATAAATGTAATGTAATTTAATCATGAGCATCTAAAATGTGTTTTGATAAACATCTCAGCCAACAGAGAAGCTTGAATTTGATCAGGATTGTTTTAGATCAAGGTAAGCGAGTTCCATTGAACGAGTCAACTCAGTCATAACATTTTTGTATAGTATAAAAAACAGGCTATATTTTATCTTAATATAGGGAAACCGGGGAGTGTTGTAACATGGGATCAGTTGTAACACTGTCAGTTTGGCAAGTCAGAAAAGATCTGCGGTGATGTCATCAATATCATACACTCCCGTCATCTTTTTGAGCTCATAGGAGAAGTGGCATGTGACTGTGAGCAACACTGTAGAGCAAAGATGAGTGGCTTTACAGTTTTGGAAAACACTGTCTTCTGTACTGACTTTAATTAAAGCCAGATGGTCTAAACAGCTGTAACCTGCTGTGAACAAACACAAGTGGCATACTGGAGCAAAAGCTAAATGTGAAAAAAAAAAAAAAAACTGTTAACTCTTTCCCCGCAATTGACGGAACTTTCCTGCTTTTCTATGTTTTCACTGTTATAAGGTAGGGGGTGCTATGAAACATCTTCTGAAAGAGTACAGAATCTCCTGATCAAAACACAGGAGAAGAAAAGGCAGCAACAAGTAGAGGTAGGAAAGTTCGGTCCTGGGGCCTGTTCTTCGTACGTCGCTAACTCAGTTAGCTTGATTTGATTGTTGGCGATTTGGCATGATCTCGGATTGTTTGGTTCTTTGACGCTCATCCTGGACTTGCTGTCATAGCAAGAGGTGCGCCTGCTTGAACCTGCTCGTGAGCAGGCTTATTTCATGTTAACAGGATTAGATCGCGGCTTTATGAGTGGAGCTGATACGGGAAGTCTTTTAGCGCAGCGCGATAATGTACTTTTTGAGAGATGATGTCATTTAGGCCTACATCATTAATTTGTTGGAAACGCATAAATGTTCGACTCGTCGGAGTCTGGCTTTAATAACAGTGCAGGCAAGTTACTATTGCAATTCTTATCCAGATTAGTATTATATCAAATTTTAAAAAGGCAGTTGACTGACTAAAATCTCTTAGATGGTGTGTGACTAGTTCCATATCACAAATACGGCCAGGATCTGTGCATGACTCAAGAATTTTCAGAGATTTATGCACATTATTTGAACATGGTAAGGAAAAATATAAATATCAAGCTCACTGTATTACATACATGCTTATCCTAACAGAACTACATTTTTCCATTAAACAGGTGATTACAACAGGATCCTGCTTGGAGACATCCTGCTTGGGGTTTCATGACCCCATTCCCTGACCCAAACCCCAGACCAGTTACAATGCAGCTCTAGCCAGGACAAGGGCACACAATGAAGTGAACTTTAGCCAACTAAAGTGTCTGAAAAGTCTGAGGGCTGCACCTGACAGGGCCTGTGACATTGCATGGGCCATATTACACAACATTGCACCATCAGAAAAAATA